TACACGACTTTGTCGTGAGGTTCGGACACAACGTACGTCGTAAGTCTTAGATACGACATAAATCGTGAGGTTTGGCCACGACGTACGTCGTGAGAATTGGATACGACATACGTCGTGAGTCTTGGATACGACTTAAGTCGTGAGGATTGGACACGACGTACGTCGTTAGTCTTACACACGACGTGCATCGTGAGGTTTGCACACGACTTACGTCGTGAGAATTGGACACGACATAAGTCGTGAGAATTGAACACGACGTACGTCGTGAGTCTTGCACACGACGTACGTCGTGAGATTTGGACATGACTTAAGTCGTGAGGTTTGGACACGACATAAGTCGTGAGTCTTTCACACGACATAAGTCGTGAGTCTTGCACACGACTTGAGTCGTGAGGTTAGATACGACGTACATCGTGAGGTTTGCACACGACTTACGTCGTGAGAATTGGACACGAAGTACGTCGTGAGAATTGAATACGACATAAGTCGTGAGGTTTGGACACGACATAAGTCGTGAGGATATTGCATATCTTGAGAGAAGAGTACAGTACAGTACACGGTGAATGTCGTGAGAAAACAGTACACGACGAATGTCGCGATAAATGTGCTACAATGTGTACATCGGCAGCACCGGCACAGTGTGTATTCTCGGAGGAAGGTCACTCCTTCGTTTTCAAAGCTGTCGACTCTCACCGAGACGATGTCGGCGATGAGGAGCACGATGAGGTCTCGTCCGCGCGCTCTGCCGCCAGCGTGGGCCACAATGTGAGACAAGCCAGCAACACTCTCACACACACATTCGTCGTTGCCATTCGCCAGCAGCAACCAGAGACCGTTTGAGCGCGTTGCAGTGAAGTAGTGGGTCCTCGAAGGAGAAGATGGCAACGGAGACGAAAGATGGCGACGGCGTCGATCTGCTTCCGGTCGACGTCAATGCTCTCTTGAAGGGCTTGGACCGACAAGCCCGCGCGCGCCTCCAGAACCGAGCAAAACAAGCTCGGTTCCGCGCCCGCCGCCGCGCCGAACGCATTGCGCTGCACGCGCAGAAAGACGCTCTTCAGCCGCTGTCATGGCACGATGTGGCTAACGCGTTGGCAGCATCTGCGACGGACGCGGCCGACGAGAACGAGCGCCTCAAGCAGCGCCGCACTGCCAACCTCGCGCTCGTGCAAGCCATGACCAAATGGATCGCGACCCTGCTTCCGCGGTCGCCGGTGCGTGCGAGCTCTCTCGTCCTTCGATGCATCAAGTACCAATGACACGATCTGCTAGCGGCCCACGGCGGCCTATACAAGTGTCTTGCGCAACGGCGCGGCGCGGCAAGCCAGCTTTGACTGGCTCACAAAGCGCCTGTACATCGACACGGACCGCGCGTTGTCGGCTCCGCCCTTCCCAACAGCAAGTGGCTTCTTGAACGCCTTTTCAATCTACGACGAGAACGACGTCGAGGATGATGACGGGTGCGTCCATGCGTGTTGGAGCTTCCAGCAATTCTACGACCGTTCGCTGCACGACGTCGCGACGAAGCTGCCGTTTCCGCTCGTGGCCGTGTGTCCGCAGCGGCGGTCCGTCTCGTTTCTGGACCAAGAGGTACTATGGTGATTCGCCACTGCGGGCGCTGTACATTCACTGCCGATTAGATTTTGGATGCGATTGCGCCCGGAAGCATGTGTTACCGCCGCGCCGTGCTCAACGACGGCGAAACCATCAACCTCGTCGGGCGCATCTTTCGCGAAGCATCCCGCGTCGTGTTCGTCTTGTGCAACATCATTGACGACCCGACGCTGCTGCGCGACGAGTACTACCGCCACCGCCTCTTCTGGTATTGTACTAAATGTATTAGGTAGACTGCTCTCTTTATAGCGCATGGATAGGTACGTCGCCGAGGCGATTTCGCCGCACGAGACGCGCGTTCGCGCCCGGTGGTTCAACTCGCAGTATTTCACCCAAGACAGACACCCCGTGGGCTTTGCCAACGAAATGGCAGAGGCCATCGACCCGGGCGCCATCGCGGCCAACCAAGGTCATCGACCCGCGACGCGAGCGCAGTACAAGGCGTGGCTAGCATCGACGCATGCAATGCCAGATGCGTACTGGCGCGATCTCTCTCAGCTCGAGGCGCCGCGGCCCGATACACAACAGTTTGTCGACTGGCGCCAAGGCTAGGATGTAGGATGTCCGGTCCGCTCACAAGTTCAAATGGAGTTGATTGTGCTGGCCGCTTAAAGTAGCATACCGTTCCAAGCAGCACATAGATATACAGCGCAGCGCTCGCTGCTATCTTTTGACGAGTAAATGTCCCATCGAGCAAGCCAAGCTGCGCAATCGTTTTCGGGTTAAGTTAGGCCTCGGAGCTCAAGCCGGGCGCGTCGCAGTACGTGAGCGCGTGGCGGGGCACAGCATAGCCCGAGAGCTGGACCGCGGTCGTGCCAGCGCGCAGTGGGTTGGCGAGCGCTACTTGGGCGAGGTATGCGAGCGTGAGGCAGTGGTGTGCCTGGATGAAGCGGATCAAGATCGTTTGCTGCAGCACGTAGAGCCGCGCGAGCAGACTGTTGGCGACGACGCAGAACGGAATGAAGAACGTCATGGCGAACTGCGCTGCGAGTGCGCGGTACGCCTTCTTCTCGGCCTCCATCGCGCTCACAATCGTCTGGATGTGGGCCTGCAGCTGCCGCAACGCGTCGTCCAGGTCCGTCTTGAGCTCACCGTTGAGCACCTTCCACGCCACATGGTGCAAGCCTTCCTTGACCTGCAGCGTCGACAAGAGGCTCTGAATCTTGGCAACAAGCGCTTGGAGCTCGTCCTTCTTGAGCGTGCGATGCGTGCGCTTGACCTACTCGTGCAGGGCGATGAAGGTTTTCGTGTGGGTGGCGATTGCATACCTGGACGAG